GACAGTCCACCCATCAAATCCGTACCTCTCCAGTTTAGAGAGAAGGATGTTGTGGGGGACCGCACTAGTGGCCTTACAGAGGGATAGACAACATCTGTAGCCCTTCCCATGTCCACTGATGTAGTCACTCCATGATAGAAGGCCGCTAGGTTAGTCAGGCAGGACTTGCCCTTGGTGAAGCCGTGCTGGCTGTCTCGAATCACCTCCCTGTCCTCCATGTGCCTTAGCATAGCTTCCAGGAGGATCTGTTCCATGATCTTCCCAGGCACAGAGGTGAGACTGACTGGCCTGTAGTTCCCTGGGTCTTCCTATTTTCCCTTTTTAAAAACGGGGGTTCTGTTTCCCCTTTTCCAGCCTCCTTGTTTCCTAGATTGCAATTGACTGTTAATGCTTCTTTAAATATTAAGGCTTCGACAGTGAAAGATGCATTTACTCAGCCTTAAGTATGCTCCTGGTCTAGCTGCATGTATTTAGTGGCATGAACATACAGCTTTTAAAATTAAACAGGAAAAAAGGTGACTGACTGAAATTATCATCAGATCAGGTTGGAGAAACTAAATCCTATGTGGATGGCTTCCAGGAGGATAGGTGTTAGCCCATACTCTTTATTTTCTGTGGCTTGTGTGCATGTCATCAGTGTTGTCACACTACCTTCTCAATTTATATCAGATTGACTTTTATAAATCTTCAGAGCACTAGATATTCTCTGTGGTAAAGCCTGAAACTCCCTCCTTGCACAGCTCATCACATAATGTTGAGGAGGAATGGAAAGTATAACGCAGCCTTCTGACTTAGGGAAATTATTAGCATGGCTTTTTTACTAAGAGAAAACAACAGTGAAAAAACTTTCCAGAAAGTTGCTGAATTTCGATGTAGAGATTATGTTGAGGTAGACAGATTAGTTCCACTTCTGAACAGGTCACGTAGCTATGCCTGACACAGGAGTTCTGTGCCATTAGATGAGACTTGAGATTTTCATAGAGACGAGACCCTTTGCTTATCAGTGATTTCTGTAGACCTGACAACATTGAGTAGTGCTTGGGGCCAAAATCTACCAGTTGGGAATTAACTGTCTGTATTAATTGGCAATGAATTAAATTTATCTTCCCCAGATCGAAACTGTTTTGCCTGTGATGGTAACCGGTGAGTGATCTCCGTGTCCTTATCTCGACCCACAAGCTTTTAATTGTGTTTTCTCCCCGTCTTGCTGAGGAGGTGGAGTGAGAGGGCAGCTGGGTGGGTACCTGGCCGCTAGCCAAGGTCAACCCACCACACTAGGATAAGTATCCTGAGGAGTTGACACAGTTTGTGAGTGGAAGGAGGGGACTTTCTGATGTATCTCTATGATCATAACTTGTGGAAGAGAAGGGGTAAGCGGTCATCCTGAGGGTTCTGATGCTTTCTGTTCTGAAAGGCCTCGGTGATCTAACCAACGTGTATATAGATAGCACCATCATATTTAAATGAAGCATACAATATTAATAAATTAGTTTCCAACCCTCGATGATTGTCTTGCTGATGCTTCAAACTAAAGCTTGGAAAAAAGTTTATGAAGTGTATGTTATTTGCAATGTAACTTTGAGTTTTGACCAGATGTTTG